ACCACTTCCATAAATCACTATGCAAACTGCATTTGTTCTTTAAAATTCTCACTTATGCACTTCAAGGGTCTCATTAACTTTAACCACAGCTGTCTTGATCTTTCCTTTTCTCATAACCCGTTTCAAGTCCCTTCACTTAGTGACTGTCTTATTTCAGTGGCCATTCACAGATACAAGAGTGATTTAAAAAAGTAACTGTAAAACCTTCACAGGTCTATAAAGCAAAAGAAAGCTACAATAAGATCAAAAGCACAATCAGGGTTTCAGCTAACGACCACTTTAAAAGCTGAGTTGCAAGTCCCATTAAAAAATGACAGTATAAATTAATACAGAATTGTCAATTTAATTTATAGACAATGTATAAACCAGAGATTTCTGGCATTTTCTCAATTTAGGCCATATTTTTGACCTTAGCTGTGTAATATAGTTTACTGGTTATGTGCTATAATCCATCAGAGTACCTCACTCTATTCACTGAATGAATATCAGTTTGCACTATTAGTCAGTCTGAAGAGTTGACGGATAAAAACAATAGATTCAACCAATAGCACTTAGACTTATATGCTGCTTTACAGCACTCCCTAAACAGTTTAGAGTCAGCCTATTGCCCCCAGCAATCTGGGTCCTCATTTTACCGACCTCAGAAAGATGGAAGGCTGAGTCAACTTTGAAGCTGTCAGGATCGAACTACTGGCAACAGGCTGCATTCTAACTATTACGCCACGATGCTCACAATTCTCAGTATTTTGCAAAGGATGAGAGACTGTAACTATTTACTAGTCTTAAAGTGATTTAAAAACTGTCTCCCCAAATTATACTTCCTTTGCCAAGCTCCTGTGGTTATCTTTGTACATCATCACGCATCTAACAAACAGACAAAAGTCTCTCTATTACTTATGTGATAAGTTAGATTTGTTCAATTTTTGTCTTGCTCACGGCAGCTAATCTACTCTTTAATAAAGAGTATTACAATCCTGGCGTTGGACAGAGTCATCCTGCAATACTGTATTCTAATCACTGCGCTACCACGGCATAAAATACAGGTAGTCCTCGTATAATAATGCTAATTGGGACTGGAAATGCCTTTGCTAAGCAACACAGTCATAAGTCATGCCATTTAGCAACAACCACTCTGGCAGTCCCAGTTGCCAATGTTAAATTCAAATCAGAGAGGTCATCATGCAACTGCAGCTTCCTGAAGGCTTCCCCATTGACTTTGCTGGTGGGAAGGGAAGGTTGTAAGTTGTGATCACATGACCACAGGAACACAGTAACAGTCATACACATAATGTTCAGCATTATTATAAGTTTGAAAGGTCATTGAATGAGTAGTTATTTAAATGAGGACCCCCTGTAGTATAAAATGACCCATTCATTTTAAAAAGTGAAAGAAGAAATAAACCAAAATCACATGTATAACATTTATGCAGAGAACAACTAGTTGAAGAGAGAGATTTTGAATAGGTTTCTAAAAAGTATATCATAAACACATTTATGAATCTTAGGAACAAGAGCATTTCAGAACAAAGTATATGAAGTTCTTTGTATTCTTCCAAACTTAATACAGTGGGGAAAAATTCACTAGGACTTGTTAGCTTTAAAGTTATTCTTGCTTTGCTAGATTGCTTCTTAACTGGTCAATCATTGGAGAATTTAAATATATATTTTAATGAGTAGTCAGGCAAGCTATTTCTGTAGTGTTTAATGTGCTACAAATATATATTGGATGCTACCTTAGACATTAGAGCTGAGGGACTTTTATTTTCTCCTTTGAGCCTTGGTGCAACTGCCATTGTGTATCCCCATGAACACAAGGCACTGCCTAACTACCTATGAACCATCTTCAGTTGCATTTAAAGCAACTACTCTGTTTTCTTCTTAAGCCTATCTCAGTAAGACTAGAAAATAACACAATCTGCCCTTTTTAAAGTTTCTCACGTGAAAGTATTTCTTCCCTCTCTTCATTTTTCTGTTCTGAAAAGAGTTGATTAAATGAAGATTCATAAAGAACTATACCAGATTTCTGCAAATTATTTGAAAATGTGGAACAAAGAAAAGTACAAATGTAGGATTTTTATGGGCTTGGTTCATGATTCTCCAAAATTCTGGACACACAAACACTTCTCTATAGGAAGTAATAAGTCCATCCAGTATCTGCAGAACTAACAGGATTAATATCTTGGGTCAGGAAAGAGATTAATAGAAACCCCACAGGGTACATTTTGATTCATACATCTCAGCAGTATCCATGGGCACTGAATATTAATTATTGTTACTGTTATTATTGAATTTTCAGAGTTTTCAACCATAACTTCCCAAAAGCTCTAAGATGTTTTTTTAATATTCACCAGTTTCAGCAATCTTTTTTTTTTAAGATGGTCCCTTTCAGATATATTAGGGCTATGCTGACTGAAATTCAAAGCTAATATATTGGTTGTTAATTCATCATTTTGGTTGCATTTTTCTGCATCTTTATCTATTACCACATCACTAAAATTATTACCTTAGAGATATGGCAATATACCATATATAGCTGCTGTTATATAGTATGTTATATAAAATTTAATATGTTATTTAAAGTTGTTTGTATCTATATCTATATGTAAGAGCCAGTTTGGTCTAGTGGTAAAGGCACCAGGTTAGAAACTGGGAGATTGTGAATTCTGGCCCACCTCAGGCATGAAAACCAGCTGAGTGATCTTGGCCACTTACACACTCTCAACCCAATTCACCTCACAGGATTGTTGTGGTAGGGAAAATAGGAAGAGGGAGGGAGGAATGTTAGGTATGTTTGCCCCTTTGAGTCATTTATAAAAAAGACAGGGGTGGGTATAATCAAATAATGGGGACATGAGGGCTCAGTGGTTAAAGACACTGAACTTGTCAGCTGGAAAATAGGCAGGCCGGGTTCAAACCCCATATGATGGGGGGTAGCTTCCATTACTTGCCCCAGCTCCTGCCCACCTAGCAGTTTGAAAGCATACAAATGTGAGTAGATAAATAGGTACCTCTCTTGGTGGGAGGGTAACAGCAGTCAATTTGCCTCAGTATATAGTCATGCTGGTCACATGACCAAAGAAATGTCTTTGGACAATGTTGGCTCCCTCGGCTAGGAAATGGAAATGAGCAGAGCCCTCTAGAGTTGGACACAACTGGACAGGGAAACCTTTACTTTTACCTTTATTAATAAATAAATTTAAAAATATTAGCACTTTTTTCACGTAATGATCCTTAATCCTTAAATTCTTTTTCTTCTCATTTTCTGAACACTCTATGACCCTTTCCTTGTTCAGTCCCATTGACTCTAATCCCATCAAGGCTCCATGCAGAATTGTTTCCAGTATGCATTATTTTATGTTTCTTTACACTGAAGCCCATTGGCCAGCATAATGCCTATTATTTAAGTTTGGAGAGAAGTTAGTGAAACCTTTGCTTTGTCTACATAGAATAATTTGGTGGATTTAAAAGACCAAAGTGAGGGCTCCATGAAAATTCATTAGCTGAGTTTGGACTAGTCCTTGCCTCTCAGGCTAACTTAATTTTCAGGACTTTGCTCTGAGCACTCAAAGGAAAGATGGCATATGAATATAAGAACACAATTATTTGTAGGAAAAATAAACTACAGGTAGTCCTCGACTTACAACAGTTCATTTGGTGACCATTCAAAGTTGCATTGAAAAAAGTGATTTATGACCATTTTTCATACTTATGACTGTTGCAGCATTCCCATGGCCACATGATCTACATTCAGATGCTTGACAATTGATTCAAATTTTAATGGTTGCAGTGTCCTGTGGGGGTCATGTGATCACCTTTTGCAAGCATCTGGCAAGCAAAGTCAACGTTGATACCAGATTCACTCAACAACCATGTTACTAATTTAACAACTGTAAGGAGTCACTTAACAAATGTGACAAGGAAAGTTGTAAAATGGGGCAAAACTCATTTAACAAATATCTCACTTAACAACATACATTTTGGGCTCAATTGTGGTTGTAAGTTGAGGACTATCTGTATAAGGCTTGATTCAAGTGATAACCATATTAAGACATATACTAACCCAACTCCGAGAAGACCCGGTCCTGGCGTGCCGGGGGCCGCCACCGGCCTTACACCATCCAACGGGCTGTGCCTCAATCAGAAGGATTTGGGCCCCCCGCCAGAGTGCTGCCGGGGAGTGGTCTTCTGTACGCCACATTTCCCACGTCTCACTGCGGGACGGGGATTCAGTGCTGGGCTTTTCCCTCTTGCTTTTATTTCCTCTCTTTTATCTCTTAGGCTTATTTATCTGTTAGATTTATATCCCACCTTCTCTCCAACAGCTCAGACTTTCAGAGCAAAACTCAGTTGAGATCTCCATCCTGTGGCTTGGCACATCTTGGCTTATGATTTTTAACTCAGAACTTTCTTTTCCTGATGTACAGCATGGCATAGCTAAATAAGCATCTTTACTGCAAATTAGAATGAGGCCATATTGAATAATTGATTGTCTTCCATTTGAAGAGGAACGAAGTTCCCTTTTAAATAGCAGGTTTAAATCCATTACAGATTCAAAATACAAAAGAGGTGCTTCCCAAACCGGTTTCTGATATCTGCTTTTAAGAAGGAATATTCTATAGAAAAGTGAGAAGCAAAATGTTTATCTAAAAACACTTTGCCTCTTTATTTGTTTTGCAGGAGCATTGGTGTTATTGTTGAGGCTATGCATTTCTGTGCTAGGTTTCAATTCAAGTTGAGTCAGTGACTTCCAGCCACTTCTGAAAGACTGGAATAATTTTTATGTGCAAACCTTGGGTTCCTGAGGGTCCAGTTCATTTCTGCTGTGAATTTAAATGAGTTAATTTAAGTGGTTGGGTCAGAAGCCACTATCATTGTAGTAGCCCTGTGCCTGATTCTTAATTAAAGGCAACAGGAGATTAATTTGAAACATTAATTTAAAAGTGCCTATACAAAAGGAAAGAATTATTGCAATAAAGCCTAAAGAACTTTTTTGTCCCTAGATGTAGAAGACAGAACTAGCTCAGGGTCCTGGGGGAATGGAGGACATCCTAGCCCATCCAGGGTAAGTACATCTAATCTTTTTTTATTCCTCACCAGCCTTCCTCTGTATGCAAATTTAAAATCTAAATGGGAATTGTGCACCTGATTGCATAGGAAAATGTACTTGCAAGTTTGGCTGTAGAGCAACCTCTTCCCAAGATTGCATTAAAAAAAAATATCTGATCTCAAAGTTGAGTTTGACATTTGCTGTGTTTCTGATTGGAAGTAGTAAGAAGCCTCATTAAATGTTTTGTCTTATGTGTCGCTATCATTCCTTATCTCTCTTTGTAAGCTGCCTGGATTCTTCCCCTCCCCTTTTATTTGGCTGTTGATTTCTCATTTGTTGTAGGGGTCTTCCCAGATATTTAATTCCAGGACAAAAGATTAAATATGAAGGTGGGACTTTTTGGATGCTAGGAGTTTTAACTCTCCATTTTAACTTTTTAGAAAAGTGTGTGTGTGTTATTCAAATTATTTATTTATTTTATTTATTTATTTGATTTGCCAATTGTTTACAAGATAATAAGTATAAGTGTATACATAGTTGTGAATACATGAAATGGGTACATATAAGAAAAATAAAAGAATAAGAGAAACAATAGGACAGGGACGGTAGGCACGTTGGTGCGCTTATGCACGCCCCCTATTATTTAAATTATAAATTAGTTTAAATTATAAATTAGTTATTAAACAGAAAAATAAAAGTATAACATATAATAACAAGAAATCAGTACTTCAGAGGTATATACAGTATGAATTATTTTATCTAATGTGTGCACATTAGTTCTTATAAAAGCTGAGGTGGCGCAGTGGTTTGAATGCAGTACTACAGGCTACTTCTGCTGACTGCTGGCTGCCTGCAATTTGGCAGTTCGAATCTCACCAGACTCGAGGTTGACTCAGCCTTCCATCCTTCTGAGGAGGGTAAAATGAGGATCCAGATTGTTGGGGGCAATAGGCTGACTCTGCAAACCAGTTAGAGAGGGCTGAAAAGCACTGTGAAGCGGTATGTAAGTCTAAGTATTATTATAGGTCCAAAGTTCAGAACATCTAGTATGAATACTATTCATTCCATTTTTTAAGTTTATTCCAATGTAACTAAGCATCTGAAAGGCTTTACTAAAAGTTGTTATCATTATTCATTTTATTTGCCCTCGTCTTGTCACAGATGATTCTGGGCTGCTTACAACATTAAAGTTATAAGATAGTAAGTTATATATGTATTGCACAAATTTGCAAATTCTTTATCTTTTGGAATAATTTTAATCACAATTTTACGCCAGGTTTTATGGTTGATGTGACCCAACTTGACTATTTGTATTTCCTTGTGCATAGCACAAACGCACAGGGCATTTTCTGTGTTTATTTATTAAATTTAAATTTTTACCTTTCTGTTATGTAAAGCACCCAAAGATAGAAAGTAAAATAGAAAACACAGCAATAAGTTCAATGCATAATTAAAATATGTCATTAAATTTAGTTAACAGTTATTTAGTTAGGTATGCCTCTGTGGATAAAAGTTTATTTGACTAAACTTTGTTGTTTATAAACCACAGCGGGCAACTATGGCCTCTTTATGACCTGTGGACTTCAATTCCCAGAATTCATAGCTCAGGAATTCTGGGAGTTGAAGTCCACAGCTCGTAAAGGGTCCATATTTGCCCAACTGTGCTATAAGCAGACTTAACATATCTGTATGCATTTACCTGTTTGTAAAGGTAAGTGCATATAGATATGCCATTCATTTAAGAACAAACCTTTACAGGAAACCTCCAGTAGTTATTTAGGCTATCCTGAATAACTACTATTGTTATGGAAATAGACTTTTTCATGGAGGCAATAGTGTTACATTTTGGCACATGTATGCAGATTACTAACTCTAAAACACCTGAATTTTTGCCATTCTTTTAAGGATATTCTCAACTTCCCCACTCTGTCTTAATTTAGCACTTAACTCTAAATAACTGATTGCACTGCCCTAACTTTAATGTAAGGTGTTGCATTTTCTTTCACAGAAAGACTTTTTCTATATTTTGTGGATCACAAAAGGTTATATTTGCCAAGAAACGATCTCTGAATCTTGAAAATTGACCACATTCAAAGGGCTGGAATGTCCTTTGACAGTCTTCCTCTAACAATGATGTGTAAATATGCATAAGGGTACCTTCTAGTTTACCAACAGCAAGCCAGGTCTTCAACAGCTTGACATTCAAATGCATTATATGCCAATGAACTGAAACTTATCTCTTCTCATGTTACAGAGATCACATTTTCATTCCCACTCAGACTATTCAATAGACTCAGGAAGTGGAACATATTAATATCAAAGTTCTTTTGACAGTTGGCAGAAATTAGAACTGCAGCTGTAACCTAAAGTACTACCATCTTCATCTGTCTGTTTATGTAGACCTACCAGTTCTAGGCTGGAAAAATCCAAATGACTATTAGACAACCACAAACTGATATAGAAAACACAGCCAATTTATAGATGGCATTTTGCACCAGCGTGGTTGGCAAAGATGTTTAAAGATAAGTCAGCTAAATGTTGGAAGCGCCACCAGATACCTGGATCATATTATCACATGTGGTGGACTTGCCCAAAAGCAAAAAAATACTGGACAAAATACATACGTGGTTGAAAAAAATGATAAAACAGCATATTGATTTAAAGCCAGAAATATTTCTATTGGGGATTCTACCCCCCCTCCCCCAAATAGTAAGGAAAATGCACATTTAGTTATCCATATATTAACTGCTGCTAGAATTGTATTTGCACAAAGCTGGAAGAGTGAAGAGATACCTACAGATGAGAATGTGATTAGGAAAATATTAGAATGTGCAGAAATGAACAGATTAACGCTTGCAATTAAGGAGAAAGAGCAAACTGAATATTATATGACATTTATTTAAACAATGGTTAAACAACAAAAATGGAAGTTAGAAACAGGGAAACAAAATAAAGAAAATATGTTAAAAAGATACACAAATATTAGGATTACCGTATATACTCGAGTATAAGTCGACCCGAATATAAGCCGAGGCACCTAATTTTACTACAAAAAACTGGGAAAACTTATTGACTCGAGTATAAGCGTAGGGTGGGAAATGCAGCAGCTACTGGTAAATTTCAAAAATAAAAAT